TTCACAGTTGTTTATAAGTGAATAAATTCTTCATTTCAAATACATTTATAAATAATTTAATGAATATTTAAGTATTTTGTCAAAGGCAGATACATGCTTTTTGCAAGCACATGTATAAATACCCATACATATTTCCAATTTATCATTTCCGGCATGTGCAAATCTTTAATTTATGTGCATTCACTATATTTTTCGTGTAAAGTAATTTACAGTAATTTAGCATACACCCGAAAATTTTACATAAAAAATATATATGAATATAATTTGAATGAAAATTATAAGTATTATTTTTAATACCCACTCAAATTTCAAAATTCCTCCACGATGGCATCTCTCTTTTTAGGCAGATAGCCCTGGCATGCGTTACTCTATTTAATAAAAACTTAATCTGACCTATGTGCCTAATTACAAATATTTTAACATACATAATTTTATATTTACATTTAGCCATCAAGTTTCAAACTTTTCAAATCTTCTAGAAAATAAATTTTGGCAGATCTCTTTTAGCAATTTTCTTAAAATCTATATTTTTGTTGTGCAACAGCTTAGAATTTTATAAAACAAATTCATAATCAAAATCGCTGTTGTTAGTTATCGAAAAATAACCAAGATGTGATTTTTGCGTAAATGTCAGTAAACATACAAATTGCTATTATACATTACACTAAGAATGTTTCTTTCATGCGAGAGTGTCCCTTTTTCGATTTCTATGGAACTGTCGTGTGTCGAAATACTATCAGAATCTTGTCAAGCGAGCTTCTGAATGTAAACAAAGAACACCCCGTCTGGTGACCCAAGCTTCAAAGTAGTGCTTCACTTCTAGCGCGGAATGGCCCCTCCTCCCTTTCCTACCTCCATGGGTCGGCTGTGTGGCTCAGTTTGTCTTAGATTGTTAGTATGTGGGAACGTGCAAGATATTCAGAAAATTCTTCTAAGTATCCTACCAGATGACAGACCTATCCTGATCTGGGTTCCAGCTCATGTGGGTATTACTGGCAACGAAGCGGCGGACCTGCTTGCGAAATCTGCTGCCAATGACTACAGTAGATTGGAAAACGCGGTAAGTGTTCCACAGTCCTATTTAAAAAAAACCACGCTCAGTATCCTTTTACAAGAATGGGGAAGGGAAAGCACAGGGAGGAGAGCCTACAAGTTCTTTCCAAAAGTCACGTGCTCAGTTAATACATACAGCGGAGCACAAACTCAATTCTACACTGGCCATGGTCCCTTCCCACATCATCTTAAGAGATTCGGCATACGAGCATCAGATTTGTGTGAATGTGGTGCGGTAGGTGATGCACATCACTTCCTCTTCAATTGCCCACAAACCGATAAACTGCATTTAAAAATGCCAAGCAGTGAATACTGACCGCAATGGGCGGAGAATACCCGCGGCAACAAGCAGACGAAAACTAAAATAGAGGAGGTAATCAGGCTTTGCTCAGCAAGATACTAAGAAATTCTCCCCCTCTCTTGAGAATTGTATCTTCGCAGCATAATTTTAATAGCAATTCAAAATACTACAACTGAATATCGACACTAGGAAAATAGCTCACCCCGTAGAATAATAACAGGACTTTAAGAGCAAAACTATTGTAATGTAAGCATATTACTATCCAGTTTGTATGTACAGTAAGACCCCGCTTAACGCTGTTTCGTTTAGCACTGTTTCGGTTTAGCGCTCTTTTATTTCAACCCGGGGATTCCACGAAATCGCTCGCAGCATACGGGGATTCCCCGAAATATTATGCAGCGATAGGTTTCAAATACATATCCGAAAGAGTGTACTTGTATTTCTTGTTTGGTGCGGTATTGTACAGACATATTTTGAAGGGGTAAATGTGGAAGATGTCGAAGAAATAATTCAAGAAGCAGCGGCTAGTCTTTCTAATGATGAGCTCAAGGAATTAACTGAACAAGAAGAAAACAAAAATGTTGACAGCAGTGATTCAGAAGAAGAGCAAAAAGAACTTTCGATGGCGTTTGTAAAAAGGAGTTTGTCTACCATAACTGAAATAATGGATCAATTCATTGAAAATGATCCGAATTTTGACAGCAGCTCAAAAGTAAGGCGTGGTGTTAGAGATGCTCTATCCGTTTATGAAGAACTTTTAAGAGAACAACGCAAAAGAAAAAGGCAAACAACATTAGATGCTTTTGTCACAAAAAGGCAGAACACTGAAAACGCGGAAGGCTAACTAAATATGACTGACTGAGAATTTATTTGTTTTTTTTTTTTAAGAATATTCGTTTTGTTATTTATATTTTGTTTTTTTATTTTGCAAGAAATAATAATGTGGTATTAATTTGGGCTTTAAGAAATAAATGTTTGGTTTTATTTTTATTAAAAAAACATACTTTTTAAATTTAATACCTAACCAATTTCCTAGCCATCTTCCCCTAACCCCAATATTTACATGTAAATATAGCCTCGTTTAGCGCTGTTTCGCATTACGCTCTACTTTGATGGAACGTATCCCCCGCATTAAGCGGGGTCTTACTGTACTCGATAAAAATAATATTGTAAAGCAGTTTAAATGATATTGAAAATCCGGTCAATGTTTAAATGAATTACAAGTTTAATTTGATTATCTCAGTAAAAGTATTGTAAATATGAATTCATATAATGTTTAAATGTACACATAGCTGTCATGATTTTAGGTATCTATCATATGTAACTTGTACAAGACAATGATTGTAATCGACATATCTATGCTTATACACAGGCCTTGTATGCCCATGCAATATTTATATGTATATTTTTACAGGTGACAGGTGACAGCAGGACAGGGCACCCGGACGGCTTTCTATGACTACTCGGGTATTACCCTGGCCCTGCAACCATCTAGAGACTTCATAGTTGTAAGATGCTTTTATGCCAATTGTGTTTATTGCATGTGCCCTATTCCGGCCTGCAGAGGTCTATGCCCATTTTTTCTAGTTTGGCCATTATGCTTTTAAGCTTTTGCCGCGTGCCTCGATGTTTTATGAGAAGGCGAAACTTTCCCTTCTACCAGGATGACTATTAACACTGTAAGACTTTTACAACAAAGTCAGGTCAGTGGTTATCTCAGGCGGCGCTCAGCATGTGGGAACGTTAACCGGTGACCCATGGTGACTAATGGGTGTCCCTCATATTTCAACTAACAAGCTGCACATTTCCGTGAAACCCATACCGTGCTATTATATCTCCTTTTCGAATTATCACAATTTTACTTTTTCTAATATTTGTGGATCACTGGTACACTGCGCCCCCACCAAAAAGACAGTTCTATGTTTCCCTTTCTACTGGTCCCATTGACGAAATTCAAATTGCGTTTTCCGTGTATCGAAAGCGCGACTTAAGATATATATATATTAGATTTATATACAGCATTGTTCTAACATAGGTATTTTGACGTTAAATAGGACTTTTTCTGAAATAACATACCAATTTTTCTCCATTTTTCGATTCTACGACTCAAATTATGCCTAGATATTAAATTTGGTAATTTTTGGTGAGAAATTAAAAAATTTATCTTGGCGAATTTTTTTCAATTTGCGCCAAGAATAATTCACGGGGAGACTTTCTTAGTTTATAGCAACCTATTTTCCTTTGCCTTTCTTCTTTGTGCACGAGCGGGGGAAAAAGTCATCGTTCATACTTTCAAATGATTTTAACAAAGTGCGTACACCACATTTTTGTTATTATCGCTTATAATAAGTACGCCAAATTTCAAAACGCGCCAAAACGTAAATTCACGTATATCTTAGGAAATTTTGAATAAAAAATTCTAATTTAGAATTTTATGGTTAGAAACTCATCTACTTTATGATGATGGCAGAACTTTTATAGGCAATAATTCAAAATATTTTTCACAAAATTTATAAAAATTATTAAAAAATACAAATTTAAAAAATAAATCATAAAAATCGGCGAATTTTATTTGAAATGAACCTAAATTTCGAAATATGAAAAGAAGAAAGAAGTTAAAAAAAGTAGGTATTAATAAATATATATCAAATTCAATTAACATTGAGGAGCTAAAATTTTGAGAGCTAATTTTTTAAAAACGACTCGTGCGATTTTTTACAAAACTTGGCATGGCATAATTTGAGTCGTAGCATAGAAATATGGGAAAAAAATGGCATATCATTTCAGAAAAAGTCCGATTTTATGTCAAAATACCTACAGTAGAACAACGCTATATATAAATATAATACATATCCTAAGTCGCGCTTTCGAGACATTAAAAACGCAAGTTGAATTTCGTCAATTGGCCCAAAAGAATGGGAGATATAGAACTGTCTCCCCCCCCGCCGTGTACATCAGCTATACCTTATGCTAAGAACAACTTATTCAGAAGTCAAACAACAAAAATCAGCGTTATACTTTCAAAATTTTCACAGGACTAGTTTCGATGGTTTTACCGAACCACCATCCTCAGCTGCAAAACCGCAAAATTTAAAGAAATTATGTTTTAGTTCTGGTTTCATCAACAGATGGCGCCACTTGCATATGCTTGTCCAGGCTTTCTTATCTAATCATTATTTCCTATCTTTTTCATTTGCGGTTTTGCAGCTGAGGATGGTGGTTCGGTAAAACCATCGAAACTAGTACTGTGAAAATTTTGAAAATATAACGCTGTAACAGACCTATTTAAGTGTAATTGAACTATTTTATTCACGCCATGAACTCATTAACTGTAACCGAACTATTTTATTTAAACGCCATCTCGTGGCGATATGAAAAAACGTCAGTCGAACTCCAGCCGCCATGATGTTAGTTTACTATGTCTCTGTTATTCAACTGTTTGATGTTCCATTTGGTATATGTTTCATTTTTATGTATATTTCTTTTGTTTGTAACCGTTCCTGTGTGCTCTGTTAATAAATCCTTTTAAAGCTAGCCGGCATTAGTGTCTATTGAGGAACGGCTACATCACAATGCTGATTTTTGTTGTTTGACTTCTGAATTAGTATTTATTCGGCGTGTTATTGTGTCTTAAGTTATTACTTACCTAAATGTAGAGGTCGAAGAATCTTGACGACTACACGAATTGTTGGAATCCTGAGATGACTTCTGTGTGCTTCCTGTCCAAGAATTCCTTCTAGCTCCTTTTTCGAGCAGTCTAAGCGGGAAGTTCCCCTGCCGCCAACTATCTGAACGAGAAGAAAAGTTATCACTCGAGATACTGGAGCCTCTTTTCTGTAGTGGCTCTAATCTCGTTCTGTGGTGTGCGTATGCAGCTGCCCTATTAGTTGGGAACTCGTTCATATTTGCTTCTCTCCTACTGAATTGAAACATTAGATACCTTCTGGCTAAGCTCTTCCAGCGAGCTTCTGTCTGTTGAGGGACTTCTGTATATTTAGCCATGAAGGACCCTTTGAGGTGCGCTCCACATTGGCATATCGGTTGGCTTTCATAAGCTGGTGTCCCACCACTCTTCTTCTCCGCTGCAGAATTAGTATTTGCAGGAGTATGCCTGTTGGAGAAGTTTGAACTATGCCGACAGCGGCCAATACCTCTTGTCACTCTTGACTCCTCTATCCTCTTGCAGATGAGAACACAGTCTTTTTTGAACTGTTTGGTGAAAATAGCATAGAGGAAAGGGTTGGCGCAACTGTTCAGAGGCAAAACGAAGATAGTGAACACTTTTGCTTCTTCTAAAGATATCAAGTTGGCACCAAAAACGGCTGTCAGGGAGAAGAATGCAATGGGTGCCCAACAGATAAAATCTGTTATTACAAGCAGTGCCATACGTTTGGCGATTCTGGAATCGTTTGAATTCCAGGCTTGAGAGCCACGTATTACCCAGTACATTTTGAGATAGCATCCCATCAAGGTCAGGAATGCGACACCGTTGATTAGAATAAGGAAAACGACGTAAGAAAGGGACCAAGGGTCTTCCGTTTCAAATGGTAAGCAAACAGCGAATTTTCTGTAGTCACTGATTCCGAACAGAGGCAGTACAGCCATTATCAAGGCGAAGGTCCAGCCTGCGCCCATGATATACCCAGCATGCTTCAAGGACAGTCTCTTATTGAGGTGCATGGCGTGGTTATAGCGTAATTCCTTTCCAGCGTGATGACGGCTAAAGTATAGACAGATAATTCACTGCTCAACACTCCTAGAAATCCAGCTATCTGGCAACCCGCAGACATTTGCCATTGAATAGCGTATACCTAAAACAAAAAGAAAATTAATAGTTTCCAAACGAAAACATCATACTTTTTATGAACAATTTTGAAAAATATTTCATTTATTGAACGTTTAGATTCAAATTTATTTATAAACGTTTTTACAAATGATTATTCCCAAAGTCCTAAACATTAAGTTTCAGTCCGAAGATATATCGCGAATTGCTTTTAATACGTTGAACGATTTATCTCTACGTTCTTTTCATTCTACTTATGTATCTTTATCATCTAATTATCATTCTGTTTTAATCCAAAATGCCGTATTGAGTATTGCAATGAACCTGTAATTATTATGCAGTATACTGTACAACATACAGTGGATGGGCAAAAATATGGAAACACCTTGTGAAATGCATGTTTGAAAAGAAAGATTGATTTTAATGAAATATGTAGGTGGCGCTGGCGTTTTTGACTACTGACGCCACCTATACAACTTCGTAAATGTGCTAAAAAGTTCAGTTGTTGTCGGAGTACTGTTATGTGAGGTTGTCAGTGCATTATGTCAGAGTTAACAGACTTCGAACGTGGGCAAATTGTTGGAGCACGTATGGTAGGTGCTTCCGTAAGCAAGGTAGCCGAGGTGTTTAGTGTTTCAAGAGGTACTGTATCGAAGATTTATTTCGCATATTTGAAAAGCGGAAAAACATTATCTGCTAAATCACAGCGCGGACGAAAGTGTGTCCTGAGTGATCGTGACAGACGATCATTAAGGGCAATTGTGACGAAAAATAAGAAGACCACAGCTGCAAAAGTTACTGCTGAAATGAATGTTGTGTTACCGAACCCTGCGAGTACCAAAACAATTAGAAGGGAGCTTCATAAACAGGGAATTGCTGGCCGTGCTGCAATTGAGAAGCCACTCATCAGTGATGCTAATGCCCGTAACAGGAAAAGGTGGTGTTTAAGTCATAAAGCCTGGACTATAGAGCAGTGGAAGCGAGTAATATGGTCTGACGAGTCTTCTTTCACATTGTTTCCCACTTCTGGTCGAGTTTACGTCTGGAGAACGCCATCTCAAGCCAGACTGCTTGTTGCCAAGAGTGAAACATGGCGGGGTTCTGTTAGGGTTTGGGCAGCCATATCGTGGTTCTCTGCTAGCCCCATGATAACTGTGTCAGGGCACACGACTGCCAAGACTTATGTGAGCATTTTGGCCGATCAAGTCCATCCCATGGTACAAACTTTGTTCCCCGATGGTGATGGTGTCTTCCAAGACGACAAAGCCCCTGTTCACACAGCTCACATTGTCCAGGACTGGTTTTCTGAGCACGAAAATGAGTTGTCCCATCTCCCCTGGCCACCACAGTCACCAGACCTGAATATTATCGAACCTTTGTGGTCTACATTGGAACGGAAAGTGCGTTCTCGTTATCCACCGCCAACATCGTTATCTGAACTTGCCACCGTTTTGCAGGAAGAATGGTATAATATTCCCTTGGCAAACATACAGGAACTGTATTTATCCATTCCGAGAAGACTGCAATCTGTTTTGGATGCCAACGGGTTTCCTACACCATATTAAGCAAAGAAAAATGTTTTTTTTAAGGTGTTTCCATATTTTTGTCCAACCCCTGTATATTCTGCTATTATAGTTTTCAGTAGTTTTTAGCTTAGTATGCTCAGTATTTTTGTATATTTATTACATTTTATGAATTACTAGCGACCCGCTCCGGCTTCGCACGGGTATAAAAATATTAATGGGTATTTTAACAATGAATTGCAGTTCATAATCTTTTTCTGAACTTACATACCTCACCTTAAATTACGATTTTTGAAAATAATTTCCCTAATATTAAATTGATTTAACTCTAAATTTTAACCAAGATCTTAATAGAAAATTCCGATCCATAAATTATGGTTTTATTTAATCTAATCTCATCTAACCTTATGCACTTATAATTACTATAAGTGCGATTTAAAAATTAACCTTAGAATAGAATATCATTTATATTTTAAAACTACTATCATACAATTATTTATCGTAACTTACTTATAATTACTGATACGTTGTCGCGCTGAAAGCTAGAGAGCTTCGATAATAAACACGTCCGATCGCTGCTAAATTCAAAGTGCTACGGCCTCCGACGCGCTATTTATAGGCACGCTCCCGCCGCCCCGGCCGGCACCGCCGCAAACGCTACGTCCCGCAATTTTTAAATCTGTAGACCTTTTCAATGTGTAAATTACTTAATACATTATTTTGATAAATCTCGTAGGGTTCAGCCTGCGTTTGCAATGCAAGCGAAAAAAATGTAATTATTTACGACATCACATTAGAAACCTCAAAAATAACAGTATTTCTCCACTATTTGATGGATGTTATTATACATATAAACCTTCCTCTTCAATCACTCTATCTATTAAAAAAAAACCGCATCAAAATCCGTTGCGTAGTTTTAAAGATTTAAGCATACATAGTGATATAGGGACAGAGAAAGCGACTTTGTTTTATACTATGTAGTGATTATTTTGTTTGTAATCTTATATAATATATTATAAGGTATTTCTCCCGTCTTCTTAGCATGCCTTCGTGGTGCAGTGGTCAGCACGCTCGGCGCGTATTCGAGAGATCCGTCGTTCGAGTCCCGGCGAAGGCATTGTTCATTTTTCATATCTTTTGCTTTCAAAAAAATTCCTAATGTCTCTGTTATATATTTAGTACATTTTAATCCTCCAATCAGCTGAATATTTTGAGGTTAGGAATGAAAGGCAAATAATTATTCAAGATTAAATTAATGACGCATGAAAAAATGAAATATGCATCTGATAATTGCAATTTTCTCGGGGGTAATCATTGATTTTCGCAAAAGAATATATGAAACAATTTTGAGAACTTTAGAAAAATCCAGATTACACAGAAATCAGAAAGTTCACAGACGGGAAAGTGATTCAATCGGAAAATGTGTAAGTTATGGAGAAAATGGATGATGCAGTACAAAATAAACTACTAGAAAACATGAACCAGAAAAAGATGACATAGAGCGCATAGTTTTAAAGTTAAAAATGACTGCATATATGAAAACATATCACAAGCTAAAAATGCATTACTAAATTAGAAGAATAATTTTACAAATTTACAATCTTAGAGTCGAATAATGATTGAACAGTGATATGAATTTATGAAAAATATTAATTAATTCTTGTGAAGAAAAGGCAAGTCTGTTGCCGCTGTCCCGCCAACTGAAGGAGCAATTCTTTTATTATTTCAAGAAAACGCTACTGCAAATTCCGTGGATCATTTTATAATTTCATTTAAGTGATAAAAATAGTCTAATCTTTAGAATATGGTAACAGGTAGTTTGGCGACATTTTGGTAAGGCGATAAAGGTTACTAAGTAGGACTTTAGCAATAATCTGAGAAGTACACAGTTCGAATCACAGATTATTTTGTCTCAGAGAAATGAGAGATCATGAGACATGTAATATGACATTTTCCGGAAAATTCCAATGGGGATTTTTAGCTAATAAGCACTTAGAAACAATTTCGCTGCTAAAGTGCAGAATCGCCCACTTATTTGTTTGGCGCTTTTTGCAAGAGTAAGAAGAATTGGATTTTTGCAAATTTTCTTTGACTTTTTAAGTGAAAATAGGTCGATGTGTACATGGATAAAGTCAAGAGTGTGCGCAATGCCATTTTTGTGCAATTCTGGGATTTTTTTTAAGTGAAAATAGGTTGACGTGTACATGGATACCGTGTATATGCAATTCTTAAAAACGTGGCAAGCAGTGGGTGATTCTATATTTTCTCCCAAGTTCGCACGCAATCTTCGTCATGATTAAGGACTTTTGTTCCATAAAAGTTCTAGCATAAGCGTAATTCGGCTAGCAGATTGTTGGAAAAAATGTTGAGGGGGGAAAAAAAAACTAGTAGCAGGGTTGGTCGCCAAAGTTTCGCCAAAAGATCGCCAAGTTACCATAATGTAAAGATTTACCTAAAAATGATGTAATATGTATTGAAAAATTTGTCTTAAACTGAAGCAATTCCAACAAAAGAAAAAGGAAAACTGCAATTTTTATGTGTATATACGTACTGTAGTTTTGAATGCATAAGACGCTGGTTAATTGAATTTTCAAATGATTTGAAAGATTAAAACTTATAAAAATTCATAGAGTGATTTCTACAAATTATAAAAATTCACAGATTGATTCCCACAACACGAGATATGTTATCAATCATTAAGCATCGTTTGATTACTACCGGCTGTCTAGAGCCAACGGTCAAATCGAACATATCAATCAGACTCTCATATCAGTTCTTTCAAAGTTATCTAGAAAATCTGGCTCATAGTACAAACACACAAACGAACTGCAGCAGGCTATTAACTCGACATACCAGCGAAGTATAAATACCACACCCTTTGAACTGCTCTCTGGGAGAAAAATGTTTACTAAAGGTACTGATCAGTTGATTGAAATGATCGAAGTTGAATATAAAGCAAATTTTGAAGCTAAGGGAGATTAACTCAGAAAGCATGCAAAGCAACAGCTATTTAAAATTCAAGAAGAAAATAAGAAGGACATACAAATTTAAGGAGAAGAGAACCAAGACCTTGCAAAGTTGAAGATTTGGTAGCTCTAAAAAGAACACAGTTTGCTCCGCATTTGAAATTAAAACCAAAATATCTTGGACCGTACAAAATAACCAAAGTTAAGAAGGGAACACTTACGACATAGTCAAAGAAGGAAGTTACGAAGGTCCCAACTATACGACAACGAGCGCTGAATTTCTAAATAACGGAATAATTAATTGCTAGGACTAATACAGAGAGAAGAAAATTGAAGAAGAAAAAGAAGTAAATTGTATATTTTTGCATGAAGGAAATGGCGCTTGAAGATTAACATTAATGACATTAACGGAAAAACATTAACGACGGAAAGAAAGAAGCCTTAAGAAGAACAAGAAGATGCCTAAAGACGAAGAAACTGTGGTTAAAGACGTTAACTACTGTTTCTGTGTCAGATGAAACTTGAAGACTTGCTCGTTTTGACGTTCTTAAAACTGAAAGACGATCAGGACTCTAAAAAATTTAACCTTTATTTTTATTATCTTTCCTGTTTTGCTTTTGTAATGTCTTTTATATTTGCAGTGTCGTCTGGAAGACCAGACGAATGCAGGACGGCTGAATGATGTATTGCCAATGTTGAACAACAGATGGCGCACAGTTTGCTCATCGCATAGTTCATTTTAAGATTTTTGGTTTTGGCAGTTACTACGAGTAGTTAGACTAAAATAATCGAATAGGAAATAATAGAACATATAGACGCAGCGAAAGAATGGTGACGATAAAGACCTAAATAAAAAGGTATCATAGAAGTGAATTCAGCTTATATTAACTTATTTGTAAAAATGTAAATTTTTAGTTTCTTTTTGATTAATATGCATATTCATGTCGGGGAGGTTTCTGTAGACAAGGGTTTCTAAAAATTCATTGGTTTTTAAATTAATTTTTCTGGAAAGTTTAATTTTTAAAAAATTTAATTTAATACTAAATTTACATTGCTTATTTCTCAAAATTCTTCATTTTTGGTATTTTTCTTTAGACCTTTAATTTTTAATTGCTAATTACTCAAGGTACCACTTAGTTGGTATTTCTTTTTGGACATTCTTCACTATGTATTTACTTTTGGTTTTGACTTTTACCCTTGCTTGCACGATTGACGAAACACGAATTGAATGATTGAAGAGTTAGGTTTGGAGGCAACTTCCCCTTGATAAGTCTGTATCCTGCCTGCTCAACAGTCATTCACTTATGCATTTTTTTAAAAAAAAATTAGATTAATTTTAATTTGCTAAATTGGTGAATTTTCATGTTTTGGTTTTGCACTTGATTTACTTATGCTACCTGAATTTAAATGATATTGTAGATTATTTCGAAAATGAAATCTTTTATATGTTTGCACATTATTTTAACTTTAAATTTGCTTTTTTACGTATACATGTTTGTTGAAATTTAAATGTATTTTAAGTAATATTTTTTTTTAATTAAATTTTTTTAAAGCTGAAAATTGTTTCCTATTTACTCTTGTTTGATCCTGACACATCTAAGTCGTTTGCCTGCCTGCCAGCCATCCATCTGTCCGTCTGTCTGTCCGAAGATGAGCTGTACAAGTACATTTGAGAAAAAGTTCCAGAAATGTTTCGCTAGCACAGCATTCTACACTCACGTTTGTGAAAATTGCAACACCAAGAAGGAATCGTCATAATTGAATGCAATTTAATACACAGTTGAGTGGTAGTGGTACAAATAAATGATTAAATGTTCAAAGCAAACAAACAAGGACAAGAGATCAGAATCAGTATTTTGTGTGGCCACCACACGCCGCAATAAGTGCTGCAACACGACGTGGCATGGAGTCAAACAAAGTTTGAATGTCTGACTGAGGAAGAGCATTCCATATCGTTTGTACGCGTACCCAAAGTTCGTCTGCAGACGCAACAGGACGAGGAAGACGCCGACCAATGACATCCCACACATGTTCAATTGGCGACATATCCGGGGAACACGCAGGCCAAGGAAGAAGCTGTACCTGCTGCGCTGCAAAGAAGGATTTAACAATCCGAGCAGTATGAGGGAGGGCATTGTCCAGTTGAAATACAGCGCCTGGCAAGCTTTGAAGGAAGGGAACAGCTTCGGGCTGTAGAACTTCACGGATATACCGGTTGATGTTCAGATTGCCCACAATTCGTAGCAATTGAGATCGTCTATGATATGCTATGGCGCCCCAGACCATAACTCCGGTTTTCGTCCACTGTGGCGTTCGATAATGCACTCCGGAAGGTGGCGTTCACCGGCATAGCGTCTGACACGAATGCGGTCATCATGGTACCACAATTAAAGCGGGATTCGTCAGAAAACACGACATGCTGCCAATCAACACGCCAGTCTCTATGCTGATTGGCCCATTGTAGCCGCAGGCGGCGATGGTCGTGCGTTAGGGGGGATCCTGTATAAAGGAGTCCGTGCGCGCAGTCCACACTGCAGCAGACGTCTACGAATTGATGAAGCACACAATGAAACACCTGTAGCTATTGACCACAGTGCTGCCAATTGTCTAGAGGAAGCTGTACGGTCCGTCCGCGCCATGCGGACCAGGTGTCTATCATCGCGAGCTGACGTCACATTTCGGGGTCCACTCCCGGATTTCCGAGTTGTCCGACACTCGTCCGTCCACTGCTTCCAAACGCGCATCACTGTGCTGCTGTTACGCTGCACACGAGAGGCTACTGCACGATACGACAATCCAGCTTCACGAAGGCCGATGATTCTCCCTCGTTCAAACTCTGTAAGTTGTTCAAATCTCGCTCTCTTTCGTCGACGAGGCATAAGTACAGATTGAGTTAACGTTTACCACTAGCAGATAACCACCGATAACCATACACGCCTCGCTACAGCCGTCTATTTATTCGGATCCATCAGCCGTTCAGAGGGCGCTGCTCAGCATACGCATGCGCTACGGATTTGCAATTCTAATCATTTGCATATCATGCGCTACTTTGCATTTCCTGAAAATTTCAGCTCACTCGCGTAAGTCCTTCATGGTGTTGCAATTTTCACAAATGTGAGTGTATATGACTTTCATTTTATTGAGGTCATTTTAAAGCCATATTTTATCCTTCCCCCCGTTAGATTTATGTTCTCTTAACAATTCAATAATTCCTATCAATGAATTATTTCTTAGTAACTGTGAATTTGCATTTCATCAATCAAAAAATGCATGTTGGTATGTATCATTCCAAATTAAATGCATAATACAATTGTTTTTCAAGGAATTAAAATGACTTTTTTCACAAATTTTATCCCTTCGTTTACAAAGCGTATTTTTAAATTTAAAAGAATTTTTTATTGGTATCACTTACAATATATGGCCATCACTGGGCCTCATCTGCGAGATTACAAATATGAAAAGTTATAAGCTATTTCTCCCGCCTTCTTGGCATGCCTTCGGAGTGTAGTAATCAGCACACTCGACGCGAATTCGAGAGGTCCGTGGTTCGAGTTCCGGCGAGGGCATTGCTCGTTTTTCATCTTTCCTGTTTCGAAGTAACCTAATCTCTCTACAAAGTTAGGAGATGTTACATGCAACTGATGTACGAAAGTAACGAAATTCTTTCTGATAAGTGTAATTTTTCATATTAGTCGAGTGAAAAAAAAATCGAACATATAATTCTGAATGTTTCAGATTTTAAATTACGTCCAAAGGGGCGTTTTTTTAACATTTTGTGTGTTACCTTTCTTTATTAAATATCATGTTCCTCGCACTTAAACCATAAGATCCAGTGCAACAGCAATATCGCAAAATAGTTTTAAAACGAGCCTATCTTTAGAATTTCCGATACAGAGACTCACGCGCTGGAGATAAAAATGTTTTTTTTCTGCACAACGTTGCCATTGCTCGCTTTGAATCCTTGAGTTTGTTAATCAAAAATTCGTCAAAGTTTTAAAAAATAGGAAATCGATCATAAAACAAATTTCAAATTTCAAATTGGGTCTTCCACATGCTCATATTCGTTGGAGGATTACGTTATTCAAAATTCGATGACTCTATGTACCGTTGTTTTATCACAATACGAGAAATATACATACATTTATGCAGATTTTTCATTATTTAATTTCTTCAAATATAATGCAGGACTGTAACATTTTGTGGCAACAGTTTGAAAAGTGAACCGACATTTATGAGTCCGATGCAAAATGCCAAAACGAAACTAATAGTCCTTCGGTATTCAAATCCCTTTGGACTAATAATTATTGTTGCAGTGGCAACGCCATATTTGTATTAAACCATTACTCAGCAACGTGAGATATTGGTTTAAAAAAAAAAGATAAAAATTCTGAAGATTTTACCAGCTAGGAGTAGTATGAAAATTTTGCCACTTAAGAATTGTATAAAATTTGTATATCATCGTGAACTAGAAATAAAATTTATGTTCTACTAAGAAGATTGTCTGTTTTGTAAATTACTGAAAATACATTACAGTATACAGGTGATGTTATTACGCTTATCACCGTCTATAATAACAATAATAATAGTTGTAGCTATAATGGTAGTCATAACTAAGTCAAAAGAGTACATTCTGAAAAATTTTATTCTCTATTTCAATAAAATATTCGCATCTTTGTATTACTAAAGTAAAAAATCATCTTCCACACAACTTACCCGGAATTCTCCTAGAGTGGATGCATCTACGACCGCTAGTATGCCAAGATATATACCCATGAAGAAATCTGCCATAGCTAGATTACAGACTAAGAACCGAGGGACGTCAATCTTACTCCTGCCAAACAAAAGCACGATGACAACTACTCCATTACCCAGCATGGCCAGTAAGAATACCACCCAGACACCACAGCGCAAGCTCCACCAGCCGAAGAGATCTTCGCAAGGCATGAAAGGACCTACAAAAATAATGTTTTACACTTAAACAGAAGAAGGAAGCTCGTCTAAAGATGACATAAAAGATATCTGACTTCTGCGTTCATGATTGATTTATTTGTCAGCGTCTTAACTTTTTGTTTTGTGAGTGATTCATCCATGGTAAAGGATTTCAAATGCAACACTATCCTTTGGGTATAATGGATGCTTTAAGAGAACTTTTCAAAGAAAAATATAATATTTAAATCTCTACATATTGTTACGAATTTGCTATTTAAAAAGCTAATGTTAGTTCAATTATAAATTAAATGGTTTTATTTCTCGCGCAGTGCAGCGCGTGACGAATATTAAAAGAAAGCTAAGCCGGAAAAATTAAAAATACAAGAGCGCGTGCGTTAAATAAATAAATATCTCTTTTTGATTTCGAGAAAGTGCTGGAAAATTCTAGCGCGTGATTTTAAAATCTTATAAAAGGAGGAAAACATCTCAGTTTTTGTAGTAGTTGCTTAGTTTTGTTGTTGTTTAGAAAACTACTGTTGTTGATTGTAGCGAATTCGCGGATTAGCGTTCTTTAGCTGTTTTGAATTACGTTCTATTGGACATTTGAGTAGTTAAAAGAAAACTACTGTGAGATATTGTAATACTGCATGATAATTTGAGAAAATTTAAGCATTTTTTTGTTGTGATAATAATAAATTTTTGTTCATTTTTCATCGGACTTGTGCATTCATTTCATAACGAACCCGTACGCACGCAACAATATAATAATATAAAGAGTCTGTCTGCGCGTGTGTGTTTTTCGTTCGCGCTGCGCGTAAGCTAATAGACCCACGGCTACGAAATTTGGTACATTGGTACATCTAGACAAGAGCCAGTGCACCTCGAAGCGAATTTTTCGAAATTCGAATTCGAATTTTTTTAATTTTATGTTTTGTGACGAAATCGCGTCATTTTGAAACATCATGGGCTATAGGAAAGCGAGATTTTACTCTGCACACTCCCTTTTCACATCGTCATGAAACGTAGGCACTACAAGCTATTTTACGAAGTTAAAATTAATTTCGTGTTTCAATAAATCGATTCAATACGAATTTATTTAACAAAGGGAGCTTAGCACCTTTTATCCTGGATTTTTTATAAAAAAGTTTATTTTTAAAAATGTACAGTTTTTGTTTCTTCGATTTTTGGATACGTTAAACTTTCATCCTTGCGAATGCTTTTTAAAAAAGAACTTTGGAAAAATGATAATATTTTGTATTTAAAAAAAAAATTTAAATGAAGCTTCCGAGTACACTTCTCGCATCTCACATCTTTAAAAATGTGATTTTGGCAACACTTTCCCTTTCTTATTGTTGTTGATAGATTTTCGATGAAATCGCATCATTTTGAATAGTTTCATTCTTTTAGAAATATGAGTTGGGCAACAATTTTCCATCGTATTTCTTATGTCACTGTTTTTAAGAGATTGGCATATTTCATTGTCATTTTTTCACATATATAATACATTTTTATTGATTTTTTTTTTGATAAAGTTGCTCTGCAGAGTAAAATTCTGCGCGGAATTTTTTGTTTTTTTATGCTCTTTCATGTTATTTTTTGCTTATTTCACTGTTTTGTAAGATATTGAAAAGTTTTTGCATGATTTTTTTTTCTTCAACGGAAAGTTGGTTAATTTATTTATTAGGATAAGTAATTTGTATAAGGGATATTGATTATTTCATTGTTATTTTGTTCTACGTAATAACTTTTTTTAGAAGTTGTTCTGCAGAGTAAATTCTACACATTTTAAATTTAACGTTTGGTGTTTCCTTCAGCCATTTTTCCGTTACATTTAAAAGCCAGACGAAGGCTGGCAGCGAAGCTGCTAGTGTTTAAATATATTACTAAATATATTACTAAATGATGTTTAAATATATTACTAAATGTTTAAATATATTACTAAATGATGATACCTGAATGCTATGATTGTGGAAATAGAGCTTCTGGACATTGTATTACCAGAAGTATAGCATCTGAAAACTACGTTTGCTGATATATACGTAATCTCTACATATAATAAAAGAAAGAGACTGTGTGTGTGTGTGTGTGTCTTTCATTCGTGCTTGCGCGTAAGCTAATAGACCCAGGGCTACGAAATTTGGTACATAGGTGCATCTACACAAGAGCCAGTGCACCTCGAAGCGAGTTTTTCAAAATTCGAATCAGATTTTTTTAGATTTTATCTTTTTTGATGAAATCGCATCATTTTGAATAGTTTCCTTATTTTAGAAATGCGGTTTTTCATACAATGCTTTGTATACTGGACTGCTGGCTGTTGAAAATATGAGATAAAATGCTGCTTATTTTCTTTGATTTTGGGACATGCAACACGCACATTACAATCTTCTTATTCTGACGCGCATGTGTCTCGCGAGGCACCAGCAGAAAGAATTTCCTTTTCTTTTTCTCTCTCTCTATTAGCTAATGGCAAAGAGGTTTGTATATTTTGAATTATGTCATCCACTAAGCACAATTATGATTGGTTACTGCTTTCTGATGATAGTTTCCTTCTTTTAGAAATGTGGTTTTGGCAACACTTTTTCGTTCATTGCTTGGGACTGCTGACTGCTTTCTCTTGAAAATCATGAGATTTATTGCTTATTTCATTGCAATATTTTACATTGATCTGCATGATTTTTTTTTTTTTTTTTTTGGGTGAATATAAGGTATTTTCCCACATTCCTAGCATGCTTTCGTGGTGTAGTGGTTCTGCACGATGGGCCGTTATTCCAGACGTCCGTGGTTCGATTCCAGGCGAAGGCGGTTGCATATTTTTCATCTTTCCTGCTATCAAAAATATACCTCATGTCTCTATAGTGGCACCCGAACTAAAAGGGTGTTGGATAAGGATTCTCTACGCCCAGGATTTGGCGATTGGGTCCCTTAAAAACTCCAGTCGCTCTTGAAAAAGGGAAGTATATAAGGTATTTCTCCCACTTTTCTAGCGTGCCTTCGCGGTGTAGTGGTTCTGCACGCTGGGCCGATATTCCAGAGGTCCGTGGTTTGATTCCCGGCGAAGGTGGTTGCTATAAAATATACCTAATGTCTCTACAGAGTATTAGAAACTCATTTTCACTGTATTTATAGCTTCCAACATTAGTTTGTTATTACCGTCGACATCATTGATGCGAATAAGATCTGTAGCATGGATTGCAATTTACAGAATGCCATTATGAAGCAAAATTATTTTCAAATCGTTTGATCTACTTTGTATAAAATTACGTATAGTTTATATTGTGAAGTACAGAAAGTTTGAAGTGACGTCCATTGACGTTCTTTAAAGTGAAAGATAAAATAAAATAGCGATCTAAATTTCATTAATCAATCATTATAATTATAATCATAAACACTTAAGCAATTACAGCGAAACACAACCCTGCAATTTAAGTAAAATCAGTAATTCGAGACAAATAATAAATTTGCTAGCATATCCCAGCGTAGAGATCTCAAAAAGATTTTGTTAAGAAAAGTTAATTTCATATTTTAAATTAGTACAGTAGATAAAAACCCTAATCTGTAAATTTAGTTTACTTCCTGTGATGAATTTTGACTGTTATATACATATATACAGGGTGGTTATAAAAAACCTTCTCTTATATGTGAACTCTTATATGTGTTTCTTATATGTGTATTAGTTGACCTATCTGCTCAACCAATCGAAATGGATATTCAGATATTGTTATTTTAAGATATGCGCTCAAGATTGTGATGATTTAAAACCATAGAGCTCTCATGGTTACGATTGCAGTGAAAAGTTTTCGAAATTTTCGAATGGCAACACCTATTTTTTAACTGCGCAAATTGATCAGCGCATTGAAACACCATAAATGACTTTAAAACGATAGACCTACGATAAAAATTACGGAGTCACGTGGAGCAGAGCAGCCAGAAAGTTATCTTATCTCTCTGTCTTCCAAAAAAATCCTAATGTCTCTACAGTGGCGCCCTATTTTAAAGGGTGTTGGATGATGATTCTCCTCACCCAGGATTTGGCAACTAAATCCCCTCAAACCCCAGTCGCCCTTTAAAAAGGGGAGTATATAAGGTATTTCTCCCGCCTTTCTAGCGTGCCTTCGTGGTGTAGTGGTTCTGCACGCTGGGCCGTTATTCCAGAGGTCCGTGGTTCTATTCCCGGCGAAGGTGGTTGCTCATTTTTCATCTTTCCTGCTTCCAATTAACCTAATGATTCTACAAGGAAATAAATTTCTTAACTTCCTTTACAAAATTTGAATTAAGATTTTGCAACGGAAGTTAATTAATTTATTTATTAGGATAATTTATATTTGTATTTCGGGATGTTGCTTATTTCATGGTAAATTTTTTATATATATAATATATTTTCATTGGAATTTGTTTCTTTGATAAAGTTGTTTTGCAGAGCAAAATTCTGTGCAGTTTTTAGATGTAATGTTTGGCATTTAGGCATTTTCCTGGTACATTTAAAAGCCAAACGAAGGCTGGCCGCATAGCGGCTGCTCATTTATACAACAGCAGTGATTAATATTGATATAATGGGAAAGCATGTGAAATAAATTAAACAGCCTCTACGTTCCCACTCTCAGTGTTGTAACTTCAGTGCCTGGAAGAGAATTTAACGAAAAACTTATTACAAATTGAGTACACATAATAATTTTTCATTGGAGTGATTAAATTCCTTGAAAAGTCTTTTGGAATGGTTAAAATTAATTGAAAAAATTTACATGAAACTATTTACATAACATAATTTCTACTTAAAAATTTGAATAAAAATATTGCTTAATACAACTTTTACAAAGACTTCAACAAAATAAAAGAAAATATTTATTATTTTAATATTGAAGGAAACTGATATAGCTATATTTAATGGAAATGCTATATTGATTTGACATTATTTGTCTTTACTTATATTACTCTGTCATGTACACCTCACACACACACATAAAAAAGGGGGGGGGGAAGTTCTATATTTTCCGTTCTACTGACCAATTGTTGAAATTTAACCTTC